CGCATTGTACACATAGTTGTTTCTTGCATCTGTTAATATCATAATTTTAAGTCCATATTTTCGTGGTTTGTTTGGAATATACATTCTAAAGCGTGATCTACCCCGGAAACCAACTAACATTTCATCAATGCATACATATTCACCAACAGAAAACTCCGTTTGACAGTTTTGAATAAAAGATTCAAATAGTTCTTGAATTGGTGCTAGTGGATTTACCGCTTTTCGTTGTTCTCTCGTGGTAGGGTCATCAAAACGTAAACAAGTCAATAAAACTACAAATCTCTTGGCACTCATTACGGACCAAAAAATTTCTCTGACCGTTCCATCTGTAGCAAATAGACATTCTATGTCTTCATCATTGGACTTAAATACTGAGGTGTAAATTAGTAAGCCTAAAAATGCTTCCATTTCGACCTGGTCGACATTTTTTAATTCCGGCCTCTTTTCATTTTTGTATTTGACCCTAACACTCGCCAATTTTACATTTGTCCATTCGACTACAACATTTAACATTTGATTTGTAAATAAACAGTTCCAAATTTCCTTTGGAGGTGCCTGCCGAAAGACCAAGAGAACGAGCCTTTCCTTGCAGCCCCAGTAAATGTACAATAATATTATGCTTTTGAGTACGAATATTTTTTGGTGCACTAGCTGACCACTTAAATCTGTTTTTACCATAAAAGTAATTTGAAGATCTCGACGCCAATATATTATTTTCATCATCACTGGACGAGTCTTGGTTTAAAGTTTCTGGAATATTGTCTTCTGGATCAGATTCACTATCAGACTGCTCAGATGCCGACTCATGACTGCTTTCTATTACCGCATCACTGTCAATATCATCAATATCACTATTTATATTCAGAGTCCAAATCATTGAACCAATTTAACACTTTCTCTTCAAATTTCGGATCTGTAACACTAACCGATCGTGACGTACTTGGTAGATGATCCATTATAGTTTATACGAAGAAATATAAAACACTCGATAAAAAGTAACTAACAGTGACATTGAGTCTCGCTGACTCCAATAACGTCTGTTCTTGCAAACGGCTAAACGTAAACTAATCAAACAAAAACGCTTGGTTTATGAACTATTTTTAGAAAGGTACTTAGCCGCAGGCCATCCAGAGTCGTCCGCTTCAATATTTTAAACCGGTTTTTAATTTCGCAAGAGTCTCTCAAACTCCACGTCACCGGTTACGGGTTAAGTATAATGAGTATATATGGAGTTATTCTCAAAAGAAAATGAAATTTATGAAAATTTAAAAAATTCTGATTTTTAATCAAATTTTTTTTCAAAAATATGCATTCTTAACCGGTCAAAATTTTGAGGTCAATACTTATGCTAAAATAAATAAAGTTTTATAGGGATTACTATAAATTTTAATTTTTGCAGAAATGGCGTACCGTAAAACAGGGTTACATTGAACCTGAGGGTTACATTGAACAGTTTTGCAATGAAGATTATATTTTTCTACAAGTTGGCCTAAACTTTTTTTTTGGGGCCAATATATTTTTTTGAGGGTTGTAAATATGTTTTTCTTGGACTTCCTGATAAAATTTCTGGCAGGTTCTCAAAATTAACAAAAATGAAATAAAAAATGGTTTCAGAAATAAAAGGTGGTAAAAAAAATCTCTCAAACTTTGGTCTGCAGCCGGCGATATGCAAAAGATATCTTCTCATGACTAATTTTACACGATACTAGTACCTATTTTAACCTTATTTTACACAATACCGTAAATGATAAGGGTTTTGAATATTTTTAATTAATTTATACAAAAAATATGTCAATTATTTTGGGAAAGTGGGGTAACATTGAATGCCAGGATTGAACGTGCTTGGGCGGCGTCAATCGAGTTCCATCTAAATATTATTGTCTGGCGTTACGCTACCTCGTTTTGAATCATTTGAATGAAATTCACTCAGCTCAGAGCTCAGTATAACATTGATTGGCTTGGCGGCAGGAACATTGTGTGGCTAGGAAATTCAGTTGTGGTGCAATAGGTAGTGTAGTGCGATAATCTCAGTCCAAAATGCGTGATTACGTTAGAAAGTTGGGTAGTCGATCATACAAAAATTACACCTCTGATAATTTGGATCAAGCAATCTGCGAAATTAAAACAAAACAGTTATCACTTTCCAAGGCGTAGAAGAAATACAAAATCCCAAAAGGAACATTAAGTCACAAACTGAACAACAAAAAAATGAAGGACGTCGGAAGGCCCACAGTTTTAAACAACGACGAAGAAAAGGCACTGGTCAAGATGCTTTTGAAAACCGCTGAATGAGGCTTTCCTTTGACTCACGACGATTTACGACATGTTGTGAAAAGCCATTTGGATACAATGGGTAAGAGAGTTAAGCAGTTTAAAAATAATTTGTCTGGTATCGACTGGATTAAAGGTTTTCTGAAAAGAAACAGAGAAATAAGTGTAAGAAAATCTCAAAATATAAACCCAAATAGAGCATCTTCCACTAGAGAAGTTTTCATTGCTTATTTTGATAACCTTGAGCAATGTCTAGACGCAGTTTCCCCCGATTGTATATACAATTTCGATGAGACAAATTTATCGGATGATCCTGGGTCTGCAAGATGCTTTTTTAAAAGAGGGGTGAAATACCCAGAACGTTTATTATCTCAATTAAAATCAAACATTTCTTTGATGTTTTGTGGAAGCGCTTCAGGAGTTCTGCTGCCTCTGTATGTAGTCTACAAAGCAGAAAACCTTTGGACAACTTGGACGGAAGGAGGACCCGATAAAACCAGATACAACCGAACAGCTCATGGATGGTTCGATTCTGCAACATTTTTAAATTGGTTTACTTCTGTTTTCCTTTATTCCACGAGACATGAAGAAGGAGTCAAAGTATTAATCGGGGATAACTTGGCCAGCGATTTTTCTGAGCAAATTATCAGACTGTCGGTTAAAAATAATATTCGATTCATATGTTTACCGCCGAATACTATGCATATCGCTCAACCCCTGGATGTCGCGGTGTTCGCACCACTGAAGAAACAATGGCATGCAATACTCAGCGATTATAAGTTAGCAACGGGATCAACTGGTCTTCCAAAGGAGATGTTTCCAAAACTTTTAAAAAAGCTAATGTTAAAATCCGCAGAAACTGGTGAACAAAACCTTCAAAGTGGCTTTTGGGCAACGGGTATATACCCTTTAGACAGAAATCAAATATTAAAGAAATTGCCTGGTACTGATGATACTCAATCAAATGAAAGTTTTGAAAACAGTTTAAACGACACAGTTTTACAATTTCTACAGGGTATTAGGAACAAAAAGAGAGCTAGAACTCAAAGAAAAAAAAATTAACATCGCACCGAGTAAAAGCATTGGATTGGAAGATTTTGAAATAGGAGGAAATTCTGGATGTTCTGCACCACCCACGAAGAATAAGAAAAAGTCTGCTAAGGAATTGGATAGTGACAGTTCCGACTACGAACTAGAGCTTCAGGACGAATCTGATTGTGATTTCGAGACATTTTGTGATGAAATGCACCAAGAAAAGAACGAGGAGATCGAAAGGCCAACAGGGGCTGCAGTCGTCGACGATTATGTGCTCGTGAGATTCGCAACCAAAAAGATCTTGAAATTTTTCGTTGGTCTTATAAAAGAAAAACTGCCTGATGGAGATTATGTGGTCAAGTTCCTGAGAATTGCGAAGAATTCTGCCTTCTATTGGCCAGAGGTAAATTTTTCAGTGCATTTTGCATTCTACCAAAATCGATTATTAATTTATTTTCAGATAGACGACATTTCAGTCGTAAGTTCTTTAGATTTTGAGAATTTTCTGCCAGCTCCAGCTGAAGACCGCCGCGGAAAAGTGGTTTTTTCGATCCAATTTGATGGGTATACTCTGGGCTAAAATCCTTCTAAAGACTGTCGTTTATACGTTTCCCTTATGTTTTGTCATTTGACTTGAAAATTACCAATTTCTTTAGTTTGAAATATGATTTTATAAGACTGTGTAAAAGAATTTAAAGTTTAATAAAAAAGAATGTAAAAAAATATTTCGTCTATAAATATAACCATTGAGAAAAAAAAACAAACAAAACTCTCCCCACTAGTTTTTTCCGCTTGTTTCACTGGCGGGGTTAAATTGAACGAATAACTAACCTGTGGGCTCGTAGACACCGATTTATACTACTGTTCAATGTTACCCCGAACCCGGGGTAAAATTGAACAGCAACTTTTTTATAGCTATTTTTACATAGCTACGCCCAAGAGATAATCTAACGTATGTAAAGTCATGCTTCTATAGTGACCCATAAGTGGTATTTTTTTTATTCGATTGAGCAACAGATACAAAACTTATTCAACAAAATATGAAGAAAATGTTCAATAGGTATTTCTGAGTACTTTGTAAATTGTTCAATAAGTATATTTTATAAAATGCATTGTTTTTCCGTTATTTAAGCTTGAATATTCAGATTTGAGTACTCGCCGAAAAAAATAAATACATTTAATTACACATAATTCACATTAAATTAATATTAAATAGTTTTTGAAGCAAGGAATTGATTCAATTTTTTATCAGCTTAAATTTTGCTCATGATAACTTTTTTATAAAAACTTATAGTTTTTGAGTTATTTATGAAAACCCCTAAAACATGCATTTTTTTTCACGAAAGCTCAAAATCTTTCATCTTCAATAACTAAAAAAGCATTGATTTATTTTATTAACTTTATAAGATAAAATTTGTTTAGATTTGGTCTCTCTATCGATTTCTGGGGTTATTTTTAATAAAATAATTTCCACCCCCGAGAAGGGATGGCATCCACCCCCAGGGTAAAAGCACAAGTTGGCACCATGTCACTTTTGATTATTAAGGTATTCTCTAGCTACTCACAAATTTTCATGAAAATCGAAAGAGGTTCAACGAAATTGGAGTGAAAACCTTCACTGACTGTACTATATGTATTGGTTTTAGAAATAAAAAAGGATTATCGAGTATAACATTTTCATATATGTCTTTCAGATTTCAGAATTCGGTGCTTGTCCGAAAATTCCATGCAACAACGGATATTATCCCATACATGAAGCAGCCAAAAACGCTTCGTCCAAAACTTTAGAAGTTTTCCTGCAATGGGGTGAGTCACGAGGTTGCAGTAGACAGGAAATGATTTCGTTCTACGATTCCGAAGGAAACGTACCACTTCACTCTGCCGTCCATGGAGGTGATATAAAGGCTGTTGAATTATGTATAAAGTAAGAGATTTTTTAAATATCTTTAGCTTTATTTTCATGTATATTCTTTAAACATGAGGAAGAACACCATGAAACGACAATGTTTTCTTTGTCTTTCGGCAAGTTTACAATTAACGTCTTCTCAAAACTTTCTTCATATATATCCCGTCTATTTCGTCATAGTAATCATCGGTTTCTTTCTTTGCTAAAAATGTAATTCGGCCCATGCCACAAAATCAGTTTTGCTTCCAGCATGAAAAAGAACAAACCGAGAACCTGTTTGTGTTGGAGCTTTCAATCTAGTAGAGACCTATGAGGCCATCTCGAGAAATCTTGATCGTTGTGTTTCTCTATTTATTTTTGACTGAAGCACCGAAATAAATCCAAGACAAGAAACTTGTCAGAAACTGTCCAAAAGTGTCAAAAACACTTATTTTGGCTAATTAAACTTTTACTAGGAAAAGAGGTCGTCTATCCAATGACTTTGAACAGCCAATTTTCAAAAGAACTAATGCAGAAGTGCGCTCAGTAAAGGAAGTTCGTCTAGATAATACCCAAAGTAACGGAAAAATTTTCCAGGAGCAAAAAGCCGGGATGTAAAGGAAAGTCAAAGTATTCCTGCTGCAAATGTAACATTCATTTGTGCCTGGATAAACAGAAAAATTGTTTTTTTGATTATCACACAACATAATACTATTTGTAATTGACTCCAATAAATTTACTACAAGTTTGAGTTTCTACCATTTTATTTCCTCTTATTCACAATGTTCTCGTATGGGCACAACCCCTAACCCGTTTAAGGGTAAACAAAAAATTTTAAAATTACATTTAAAACTCTTAAAAAAAATAAACAAAAATGATACCAAGATAATATATTTTTTGTAATACGAAATAAAAAGTCGTGAGCGAAAGGGTTAACAGTCTTTAGCAGTTCTCTATATTTGTTGACGCTCCTTAGTACTTCTTTATTAGTTTTATTTGCTGTCAAAGGTATCTTTAGCATTCATCTATGAACTCACATTCCCAATGCTTTAAGTTTGTTCATGATCGATACTTTTAGGTCCACACTTCTGCACTATACAAAAGTACTGAACAAACATAGCACTTAACCCTCAGTTCTAAACTGAGATGATTATTGCAAAGAAATGACTTCATTTTCATAAAAGTAGTTTTAGTCATTGCTATTCTACGTTTTATTTCTATGTATGGATATAGTTTTTGTGAACTTTCTCAACTTGGACTCCGTTTAATTGAAGCTGTGCATCGGAATGTGGGTCAAGACTAAACACTAAAAATTTGGTTTTGTTTGAGTTTATTTTAATGCCCATTTCCTCTCCTACCTCGTTAATACGATCAAGCAGAATTTGGATATCTACAATATCATCTGACAGAATTACTGTATCGTCTTACACTAGCTTTCTAAATGCTATTGCTGTTTGCCATACAGTGTTATTAGGGCATCCTGCCAATCTACTTGCTTTTTGTACTGGACCTCTCACTTCTTTGTCTATGTGTCCATAGGTAGACAGTGTAATTCCCAGGTATCTTATTTTCATTACTTGTTCAATATTGATACTATCAATTTCTATTTTACATCTGGTTAGTTCTTTCCTGACTACCATATATTATTTTAGAATAAGTGAATGAATTATATGAAGTTTAGAAGAGAATAGTTTTTAATCTGCAGTTTATAAAATCAATTTTTTTATATTTTAGTGTATAAGCAGTTAATAATAAATTAATTCTCTATCCTAACTAGGTCAGGTGCTAAGATCTCCATACAACAACAGGATCTATCAACTCCAGTTCATCTGGCTTGTGCTCAAGGTGCCACCGAAATAGTCAAAATTATGTTTAAAATGCAACCAGAAGAAAAACTGCCGTGTCTTCAGTCGTGCGATGTTCAGAAGATGACGCCGCTTCACTGTGCCGCTATGTTTGACCATCCCGAAATAGTAGAATATTTGGTCAGTGAGGGAGCAGACATAAACGTGATGGACAAAGAAAGACGATCGCCGATGCTGCTAGCGGCGTTAAGAGGAGGTTGGAGGACAGTACATACATTAATAAGGTAATGATCTTCTATTTGCCACTTCTATACGATTTAGTTCTTTGATTTTGTTTATTTTTTATGTTTCTGTTCATCACACATTTATCACATATTCTGTTGAGTAAGCATATTCTCATTTGAAAAGTCCAGATCACATTCGATTTAAAAATTAGAATAAATATAGTCGTCGTCCAGTACAGATTCGTTTTAGTGAAGTTCTTGTTTATTCTTGTTACTTGATGACAGTGCATATTTGTAGTTACTCGTAGGTCTTTATCACCCAATCTAGCTATTTTTAATGTTTCTATTATTTTCTTACATCGTACCTGTCAAAAGACTTTTCATAACCAATTGCATAGATGGATTTATTTTGATTTGTATATCTGCAACTTTCTATCAGTATTTAGACACTAAACAGGGTTTCGTACATAAGGAATGCTTAAATTTCACGATGTTTCTTTGCCTACCTCTGCTTTTTTTGTCTGCTCGTGGTCTGCACACTGTAATTTTTTGGGTCCACTACCCTTCATTTATTCTGGCCACATGGGCCACCCTATTTCACTTTAGCCATGCTATGCTGTGACGCCTGTCCTTCTTATTTCTTTGTTTCTAACTCTGTCTCTGAGAGTTAGTCCAAGTAGCGAACGTTCCATTATTCTTTGGGTTACTCTGAGTTTAGTTGCAGTGGCCTTGATTATAAAAAGTGTTTTGGCGTCGTTAGTCATGACTAAAAGCATAGGTTGATCGAACGTCTTCTTGGAAAAACAATATTTTAACTATAATATAAAATGGCCAAATCTGTTTTTGAACCTGTTGGTAGAGGGCGCAGAGATAATATTATAATTAAGGTTATTCCAGCACTCAAAAACTCTGGTATTTGGTAGAAAGTTGTGTCTGGATCTTTTAGAAAAGTTCTCTTTTTTAAGTTTAAATTGGTGACTTTCTAGGCGGTAATCTTGATTTATAAAAAACATTTCATAGAAATTTCCAAAATTTAATTTTAATATTTTGTATGTGGTAATTAAGTCTAATGAGGAGTAAGACAAGAAGCTACCATCTCGCCCAAGCTATTCAACCAAGCGCTAGAAGATGTTTTCAAACGACTACTCTGGGATGGCTCAAAAACGGGCAAAATCTGAATCATTTACGATAGCTGATGATATTGTATTATTAACAGAAAAAAGTGAAAAATTACAAAGAATGATGGAAGAACTAGATAGAGAATCGACAAAAATTGGACTCAAGATAAATTACAGTAAAACAAAAACCGTGACTAATCAACCAGAAGAACTAATAATTACAGTGGCACAAACAAGAATAGAACAAGTAAAAGAGTATATATATATATTATATATATATATATATATATATATATATATATATATATATATATATATCCTTTAAAATAACAGCTGATCTGGTAGATGAAAATGGAGTTGAGGTTAATTGGGTATACAGCTGATTAAAAGCCAAGTGCACTCTGTTTAACAGTTCATTATATTTCGCCAATTTTCATTGGCATCATCAGATAAATGCTACAATTATTCAAAACATGGTAAAAATAAAAATAATAAAGTAAAAAAAAAATACATGACTGTCTGCGAACTAAACGTTTTTTGTTTTTGTTTTTAATTTATATTGTGTCATTTCTAATATTTTAATTTTAAACGTCAACAACTACATGTTATATGTCTCAAAAAGTTGCAATCCACATCGTACCACAAACCATTGTTTTGTTAAAATAAATCATATTGCCGCAACCTCAATCAAGTAAGACTTAAACAACAAACAGCTATTGAATGTATTTTTTTTACTTTATTATTTTTATTTTTACCATGTTTTGAATAATTGTAGCATTCATCTGATGATGCCAATGAAAATTGGCGAAATATAATGAACTGTTAAACAGAGTGCACTTGGCTTTTAATCAGCTGTATACCCAATTAACCTCAACTCCATTTATATATATATATATATATATATATATAAATATATATATATATATATATATATATATATATATATATATATATATATATATATATATATATATATATATATATATCTAGGCCAAATCACTAAATTAAATAAAGAAAATTGGACCGAAGAAATAAAGAGAAGAATAAGATTGGCCTGAGCATCATTCGGAAAACTGTCATATTCTAAAGGATTCAAAATACCTCCAATACCTAAAAACGGGAGTCTTCAATCAATGTATACTCCCTGTCCTCACAAAATATGGAAAAAATAGCAAAGACAGAAAGATCCATGGAAAGACAAATGCTGAACATTAAACTATCAGACAGAAAAAGAAACAAATGGATCCGTAATAAAACAAAAGTGACAGATGTCTCAACTCAAGTAGCAAAGCTTAAATGGATGTTTGCCGGACACACCCTAATGCAGAAAGATGAAAGATGGACTAAGACAATTATACATTGGAGACCATGGAATCACAATCGAAAAAGGGGAAGGCCACAAATGCGATGGTCAGATGACCTGAAGAAACACGCCGGGTCAAAATGGATGCAAATTCCCCAAGAAAAAGAGGCATGGAAGAAGGAGGTGGAGGTCTATATCTAAGGATGGATGTTTAGAGCTGTATAGATAGATAGAATTAAGTCTCCACGTTGTCGGTGAAGTTTAAAAGAAGTTTAGTTAGCCTTACTAAGTATTTCTGTATAAGGTCTTCTTGGTTCCAAAGGAGTAGCTTTCCTTTGAACGTTCTCCAACAAGGTTTTGTCTTGAACCAAATCGGGATACCACGTTGATCCCGCCTATTCAAGATTGGGTCTGACGTAAAGAGTGTAAAGTGTACAAGATGAGTGCATTAAAACTCTCAAAAAACACCCCCAAATAATATATAGTCTGGAGTTCGCACGTTTAAAAAATACAAGTAATATGGTCAGAGTAAGTTATGCTGCTGTTTCCGATAACACTAAGGTCGTTATATGAGAACATAGAAACTGATGGTTGCCTGTTAACAACGTATGGCATAAGTGAGTTATTTTTACCAATTCGAAGCACTACACATTTTTCTGCATTTAAGGGTATGACCCACTGAGAACACCAAGTGAAAATAGAGTTTAAGTATATTGGTACGGTGAGCTGATTTGTGATTCGATTGGCATATATTTTGGAAAAAGGAACATCGCTGGAATAAACCGTAAAAAGCAGAGATCCAAGGACAGAACCCTGAGGCAGTGCACTTTCCACTAGCCTGTCTTGTGAAAAAGATTCGCCAACTCTTACTTTGTAATGTAGATCTGTCAGGAAATCATCTATCCAACAAAGTAAAGTACTACGAACTCCGAAATGTTCTAGCTTATGTAGAAGTCTGCACTTATTACATCGTCGAAGGCTTTAGAGAAATCCAGATAAACAACGTCAACTGGCTGTAAATTGTTAAGATATGACGTCCAGTTAATAACACAACGTAGGATATTGGTTAGAGTGGATTGACCAGAGAAATCCCCGTTGTTGTGTTGAAATAACACGTTCCTGAAGAAGAAATTTGGTCATCTTCTCGGAAATAATGGCTTCCATTACTTAGCCAACTACTGCCGGAAAGCTAATTTTACGATAATTAGGTAAAGAAATAATAAATAAGACTTATTCACAATCAATTTAATTTAACTATCAGACGACCGGTTTCGCTTTCTACAATATGCCAAGCATTCTCAGGTCTCGATACAAAGTTAAACAAATGCTGAAATAATAAAAACCCATATAGCGTGTTGTCTAATAACGATAAACAAAGTAGATGTTGTAAATTACAATAATTATGCCAATATTACATGTCTGTGGTTTTATTTAAAAGAGTAAGTTGAATAAAAAGTATAAAAGTTTAAACAGACAAGGTAAGGCCCACAAATTGTTATAAAATAGTCTATTAGATTGTAATAAATTAATAAATGAGCAAATAAATAAAATAAACATTACTTACATGCCGATACTTTATTAATTGATGGATGGTAGAACATGGTTGAAACTACTATGTATTGTTGAATGGAGAACTCAATTCTATTATTGCAGTTGTTTGACAGTAAACAGGAAGTTCTTGAGGAGATAGATTTGATCCAATGAAGAAGAGATATGTGTGTGATTGTTTGTTAAATGAGAGTGATGTAATATACCATTGTGTTATTAAAAGTTATTTATACTTATTCGAGAGATATATTTATGAAATGTGTGTTATTTATTGAGTAATTGTTTTATGAAGGTGACAGTTTTATGGTAATGAATAAGTTTAGATGTAAAAATTGTGTGGGTGTGCAATTATTTTAACTTGTAGTTATCAAATTACTTTGATAAACTTCTATTGGCAATTAGTAGATTATTGAAAAGTCAGGTAAATAAAATATTAGAATACAAACAATTAAGGATAATTTAAACACACTAAAACGGAAAACACTTAGAAGGGACGAAACAAACATTAAATTTAAAAGGGGGAAGGACTTTAATGCACTACATCTCAGTCTTGGGCACAATGAGTTTTTTTATGTTTTATCTATTAGATTTATCTTCTTCTTCTTGTAGTGCCTATCCGTTTCGGATGTTGGCGACCATCATAGCAATCTGCACTTTACACACTGCTGCTCTAAAAAGATTTGTGGTTGTTGTATTGAACCACGTTCGTAGATTTTTCAGCCAGGAAATCCTTCGCCTTCCTGGTCCCCGTTTTCCTTCTACTTTTCCCTGCAAGATTAGTTGCAGCAGTCCATATCTTTCGCTGTTCCTCATGATGTGACCGAGGTATTCGATTTTAGCTGTTTTTATTGTGGTTAACAGCTCTTTTTCTTTTTTCATTCTCAACAGAACACCCTCATTAGTAACGTGGTCGGTGTACGATATCTTCAGGATGCGACGATAAAGCCACATTTCAAAAGCCTCAATTTTCTTGCAGGTGGCGTCTGTGAGAGTCCATGACTCAACTCCGTACAACAGTATAGGAAAGATATAACATCGTAGTAACCTGATTTTTATGGGCATTGATAAATCATGACATTTGAATAACTTGG